ACTTATTCTTGCAGACCTGTCTCCATTTTCCTTCCCTATTTTTGACTCTGGCTCTGTACCACCATTCAAATCTTTAACAATATTTCAGCTTTATATTCTTACCCTCACTGTCTGCCTATCTCTTGATGAGTTTAGAGCCCTTTCCTGGGTAGTTGTGCAAGGAGTAGGAGGGGTTAACTCTTGAGAACCAGACAATTGCACATCAATCTTGCAGACCTGTCTCCATTTTCCTTCCCTATTTTTGACTCTGGCTCTGTACCACCATTCAAATCTTTAACAATATTTCAGCTTTATATTCTTACCCTCACTGTCTGCCTATCTCTTGATGAGTTTAGAGCCCTTTCCTGGGTAGTTGTGCAAGGAGTAGGAGGGGTTAACTCTTGAGAACCAGACAATTGCACATCAAAAATCTAATTTAGTATACATAGCATGATAATCATTTTCCAAATTATATTTCACAGCCAGCTGACCCAACAGGAATCAGAGCCTGTCTTTTTTGTATCCATGTGAGTGCTCCTGCAGAGTTCAACCTCGGGTCACACCAAACCAACTGGAGACATTGGTGGTCTTGATTCACAATACTGTAGTTTAGCAATATTGCAGATCAAGAGCACTTTAACCCATTGTCCTAACTGGGTAATACTTATTTCCTGCCTCTTTAGAGGGATCCCAGTTCAGTCTCATGATCTGGTGACAGTACCTTCATATAGCTCCGATGTCATCCTCTCATTAACGAGATCTGGAGCTGCCTCCATCAGAACCTGGGCAACTTCTGTATTATCATACAAGGCAGCCACATGAAGAGCTGTTTCTCCCACTGCACCTGAAAAGAGTAGGAAAAGCACACAAGTCACTTTATCATTCAGATGTACAGGACAAAGCTGATCAGAGATTTCATATCAATGATGGGAGCTTTTTGAGTGGGAGTGAAGTCTAGTGAATTGGGTGACTCAGGAAACCTGAGTTCTATTTCTGACTGGCACTGCCCTGCTGCGTGACCTTGATTTTCCCTCTCTGTCCTTCTCTTTCCCATCCTATCCTTTGTCCTTCTTGTCTTATAAGGTCTTTGGGCAAGGACTGCTTTCTACAATGTCAGTGTAGCGATAAACACAATGGGCCCCGATTTCAGGTCTGGCCCGTAGGCACTCCTGTAATGCAATTAATATTCCAATGTGGAAGAAAGTTTCCTAAAGGTGATGGAGCAAACATGGCTGGAGTTATTTATTTCAAGAAACCGTCCAATGCCCGCTAGATAGGGCAAGGGAGAAGAGAAGCACAGACAAACTATTACCCAACAGGTTTTTGCCATCTCTGAGTTTCATAATTCATTATGAGCTGACTAGTTCTTTGATAAGAGTAATTGGGACTGAACTAGGAATTTCACTTTACTGCAGTACTGAGGCAACTTGGTTCCTCATTTCCTCCTGCTTCAAAAGTCTAGGCCTTGGCAACTCTCCTTCATCTGTTTGCAGTAAAAGATCTAATAATACACAATCAGGTAGTTCTGATTCCATCTACCTGAAGAGAGTGGTGCACACATATACTGTAGTACTGTAGAGTTGTGGTCTATCTGGGAAAAAGCTAAGAACAAATAACAACAGACTCACAATGGCAGTGCCTGTATGTCTGTCAGTGGTAAGGAGCAGGAAAATAAGGGGACAATTTACCTCTCTGATAGACATCACAGGTACCATCAGAGATCAATTTCTTGATGGCCCGGAGATCATTCTCCTTGGCAGCCTGGAGAAGTGGAGACTCCCAGATTCTGCAATCAAGAAAAACAAACAACTTTTAAAAAACGCGGTCACACCCACTTCTCTCTGACCTTGAATCTAATTCTTTAGGCTCAGCATGGCTCTCCAGAGCCAATAGCAATCCTCAAGTTTAGCACCTTCCTTGATAGGTAAGTCATGTGCTTGTTATGCATTGCTGCTGCTCTTTGAATTCTCTCCCGTGTACGAAAAGAAGAAAAACCACCCTGACAGAGAAACAGAGATCAATAAAACAACAACAAGAACAGGGAAATAATCAATGCTTATTGCAGTCATATGAGACCACATGGTGGCAGAAGCGGGAAAGAGATGAGAAAGGATCAGTTATGCTTTGGAATAAAAGACTCCCAAACTGTTTCAATTTCTAGACTGTTATCCACATTTAAAACAGATAGTTTCTTTGTTTGAAAGTGAAAGAGGCTAAGAGATTATATTCCCAGTCATTAGACAGTTTAGCTATCTGTAGTCCAGGTATCCTGGGAACAAAAAACCCAAGCAACTACATCCCCTTATTCCATACAAATAGTGTCTCTTCACCTGGAAATCTAAATTGCCACCATGCTGGGTAAGAAGGAAAAGTAGATAAAAGGGAATGTTTCCTCTTCGACTTCCCGAAGCTCTAGAGGTACAATTAATGGAATAAAAGCTAAACTGTAATCTCATGCAGTGTGGGAGCTAAAGACCTAAGTCTTAACATGAACAATCTATTATCTATTGCTGATAGGGTTGCCAGATGGTTTAACCAGAAATACCAAATACCCCCCCCTCGCACCACCTTCCCCCTCCCAAAAAAAAAAAACACCGGGAAAATGCTGTTGAGAAAAAAAAAGAGGGGGAGACCAAAGTTGTTGAGCAAAAAAGCATGGCCCCTTTAAAAAGAGTTTTTTTGCTGGCAGCCATTTTGTTTTTCTGTTCCAGCCACAAGACAAGCCCCTGCGAAGCCAGGTAAGCTTCCTGGGTGGCCTGGCAGGGGGCCCAGTGGAGGTTCCAGGAGGGGCGGGGGCTGGGCCCGGCTGCTGAGTGTGTCGTAGGGTTGCCAGGTGTCTGGTATTTTCACCTCCTGGCAGGGAAAAAAAACAGAAAATACTGAACATTTTAGGTGTCCGGTATTTTCTGAATTTTTTTTACTGGACAGGAGGCGAAAATACCAGACCGTCCAGGTCAATACCAGACACCAGGCAACCCTAATTGCTGAAGGGAATTGTGGAGGTTACAGAGCATTGAAATTGTGCAGCCTGGATTTATGCCAAGTACAGGAAATGGAGCCAGTAAAGCACATGCCATCAAACAAGTTCAAAATAAAATGGAACAATCATAGGAGAAGAATGTCCTTGGTCGGTTTTACCCACACTCCAGGTTCTTGGTTATTTCATCAGATTCTTTTGGGTAACTAAGAACCTGCATCCACACATTGCCATGCATTTCACCTGTAGCAGGATACCATGATGAAATAAATTTCCTGAGCTTTACAGAGCTTTGCCGAGAGAGTGCAGCCAACTTCCACAATGTTATCACCAGTCTTGCAATATTTGGTTCTTTTCTTACAGCACCAGCTCTGCAAGGCACATGATGACATGAAATGCTCAGCTTTTGTTTTTTAAAACAGCAAGTTTCTAGCCCTCATAGTTACAGGGAAGAGTTTAAAACATGATCCAAATGCCCCCTAAAAGTTCAAAACACAAATAAAAAGAACTCCAGTGTATTATATTTTTTTAAAAAATCGTATTTTTAAACTGGCCTCAGGATTTTCTAATGCCTGGCTCTTAATTTTTGAACTGTTGGGGGAGGCAGCAGGCCCAGTCTGTCAACTGCTACTGATATTTTCATATATAATAGCTCACCGTTGATACAAGACTATGAGGACAATCAGTCTGATCTAGGACAGCAGAGGATGGGATGCTGACCTAGATGGACCAATGGTCTTATGGCAACAGTTACATTCAGTAATTAGCAAACATGGGTGGCCAGTATACTAGGCCGGGGAAGGCTTTGCTTCCCCAAACCACTAGCCTGGTCCTCGTCCCTACTCTGCCCCTAGAATACCTGCTGTAAGCATTCTGGGGACGGAGTGGTGCTGCCCCCAGCACCCACTCTCCCTGTGCTCCTGGCTGGGGAGGCTGGAGTGGCCTGCCTTTCTCCCTCCCTGTGCTCTAGGGTCAGAGAAGCTGGGGCAGCACACCTGTCCCGCACCCTCACCATGGTGGGAGGGGGGGTGCATGCACGGGGTGCTGCCCTGCCTCCCCGTGGTGGGGTGGGGAAGGCAGCTTGGCTCTCATGGGGGGCGGGGCCCCAGCAGAAGGGATGGGGCTGGGGGCTTGCCTTCCACAGCCCTACCTTCACCGACCGCCCATGATAGTAAACAGGGTAAGAAACATTCTGAGAAACAAGCAAAACGGGAAATAGGCCCAGCAGCAGCTAAAGGCTTCACGCCAGCCTCAAGCGTGGAGAGCTGCCAGGCCAGCATTCTTCTCAAGGTAGAACTGCTGTACTCATAGGAGCTGCGGCACATGCTCTCAGTGTGAGGAATGACTCATGGTGCAGCCCCTCCACTTTCTTGGAGGGCTGGGGAAATTCCACAAACCTCCTCTTGAAGATCTCATCCTGCCCTGTGTCCCTCAGGGTGAGGATAAGAGGCAGCTGGCTCTATCCAGCTTTAGGAATCTCAGTAGAAAGGGGTCAAGGACAGTCAATAGGAGTGTTACCTTTAACCCTACAATATGGGTTTCGGTTTCTGGAGTAGGGGAAGGAAGAGATTTACCTTGTGACAGAGCCAGGCTACAGCTCAGGCCCACTATAAGGAAGAAGTATCCAGTTTCCCAGGGGGCCTCCAGCCCTGAGACCAAAGGGTTAATGATTGCAGGATTTTGAATAATAAATGAAAGAAGCACACACCAAGAAATACAAATGTACAGGCAGTCCCCGGGTTACGTACAAGATAGAGACTGTAGGTTTGTTCTTAAGTTGAATCTGTATGTAAGTCGGAACTGGCATCAGCCGCTCCTGAAACTGATCAGTTTCAACAGCGGCTGAATCTGGACGCCAGTTCTGACTTACATACAGATTCAACTTAAGAACCCCAGGCATCCCCAAGTCAGCTACTGCTGAAACTGATCAGCGGCTGATTCCAGGAAGCCCGGGGCAGGGGCCTCCCGGGGGCAGGCTTCAGCAGTAAAATCTAATGCTCTCTCCTTAAATGGGTCATAATTTGCCAAATCACACATAAAAGTTCATTGATATCTGATTCCTGTGAAGTCAGAGGAGTTCTGCTATTGATTCCATCGGCCAGGATTTCACCCGTACAACTAGGAACCCAAAGAATTTGTTACTGAGCAATAATTGGTGGATACGCTTTTAGCCATCTTTCAGTAGCGACATGCCTTGTGGTCAGACCAGTGACCTAGAAATGGAAGGTTCCATAATCCACAGCCAACCCCTTATCTCTTTTTTGATGTGGATGACATGGGAAAATGTCATTCTTTTGAAGTTGGTTAAAGAGGCATGTTGTAGAGTAGATTCAAGCATTGCAATTACATACTAAGGATATGTCTGCACTGCCATCCTAGTTTGAAGTAGGGTGGCTATTGTAGGCATTCAAACTTGCAAATGAAGCCCGGGATTTAAATATCCTGGGCTTCATTTGCATGTTCACGGGTGGGCGCCATTTTTAAATCCCCTTAGTTCGAACTGAGTGCCTGCAGCTACACGCGGCAGTCAGAAGTTAATCCGAACTAAGTCCTTAGTTCAGATTAACTGTTACTCCTCCTGCAATGAAGTGTAACAGTTAATCCGAACTAAGGACTTCGTTCGGATTAACTTCTGACTGCTGCGTGTAGCCGCGGGCAGTCAGTTCGAACTAAGGGGATTTAAAAATGGTGCCCACCTGGGAACATGCAAATGAAGCCCGGGATATTTAAATCCCAGGCTTCATTTGCAAGTTCGAATACCTACATTAGCCACCCTAGTTCGAACTAGGGGGCTAGTGTAGACATACCCCAATAGATTATGTACCGCTAAGTCTTCTGGTATTATTTCCACTCCCTGATGAGATGACCAAACTTTTTAAAATACAGAAATAGCTGAAAAGGAACTATGCACTTACAGGACAAGTTTCTGGATTCAAAAATTCTTGAAGCATTTGGGACCCAATAACATTTTCACCAATACAGCCCATGGTCAGTCATCAGACTACTTATGAATAATAATACAGTTTATCGAATTGTAGACACAAGTAACCTTGTTTGTTCACAAAAATCACCTTGCAACCAGTATTGATTTTTAGAATGGGTAGTCCCAGAAATAAGAAGAAGCACACAGCTCTCAATAGCAACCATTAAATAAATAACTGACATTAAAATCCACATCGCGTTTGATTTCTAGGGAATTTGCAAGGAAACTTAATGTTTTAAGATGGACATAGCGTAAAGTGTAAAAGTCAGATTTCATCTCTTGATGAAAGTTTTTTTATTTCAGTTCCTCTGGTGCTAGTATCTCCTTAATCCCTGAAAGTAAAAGCTTTTTTGAAATCCACATTCTCATTTTCCGGTCTTGTCACACCTAGAATGTGACAATGAATTCTTAGCATCTCTGTGCCAGAAGGATGCTGGAAATTGGAGGGAAATCAGATGCGAAAGAAAAATCAGGAAACTGAAGAATAAGTGGAAAATATGAATAAATTGATTAAAGCATAACTAAGGGTATGTCTACACTTGCCCCCTAGTTTGAACTAGGGAGGCAAATGAAGCATACTGAAGTTGCTCATGAAGAGCAGGATTGAAATATCTCGCGCTTGATTAGCATATTCATGGCTGGTTGCCATTTTAAAATGCCGGTCGCCCGAATCAACTCACCGCGTGTAGACGTTGGAGTCCAATCCCTCCCTCAAATTAATTGTTACTCCTCATTGCATTACTCCTCAACAACTTTGGTCTCCCCTCCCCTTTTTTCCCCCTTCAACAGAATTTTTTCCTGGTGTGTTTTTTTTTGGGGGGGGGGA